GGAGGAGAGCTTAGGGAGGGGGGCGGGAGCTTAGGGAGGCAGGAGGAGAGCTTAGAGAGGGCAGGGAACAGGGGCCGGGAGGAGAGACAGTCCCAGGGGCTCGGAGAAGTCGCACCAAATACCAAAGGCCATTCTGGCTGGCTGGTAGAACGCGAGCGGTGCCGGGACCAGAGGGCTGGGGGCTGCTGCCGCCCGAGGGAGTCACGGGAGGGGCAGGTACCGGGATCCTCACTGCTCCCGGGGAACACCGCGCCCTCTGTCTTCGCCACAGGAACAAGCCGTCTATTTTTGTTTCTGCGCCACAGCTACCGTTTACTCCCCTAACTTCAGAGCAAATGCATTCCAAGCCTCGCTGGGAACCAGTGTCCCGTAGGTCTCTGCACCTCCAGGATGTTCCTGGAGGGGAGCTTCAGGGCTTTAGCCGCGGGCAGGCGGGCGTGGGAAGTCTCAGAGCCCGGAGTCATCCCTTTGCGACCCACGTGACCCCCAGGTGGGTGCTCAGGCCACAGTCTCCCCAAACACAACAGGGACAGCAACGCCTCAGGACCAGCCACCAATCCGCAGGGCAGACGGGACCCGCTGCAGGTGGACGGGAGCCCGCAGGGGAGAGACACTCCCGGTACGTCAGCGAGGGAGAGAGGAGCCGGAGCGAGAAGCCGCAGGGGAAGCGGTCTGAGTGAGGGACCTGCCTCGTGGGCTTGTGAGGATGCTGACTGGCGGCGGCAGTGGCGGCATCCACACGGACACGCCGCGAGAAGCCGGGAAAGCCCGACCGCTGGCGGGTGGCTGGCCTTAGGAATGGCTGCAGTTTTCCGGGAGCAACAGTGGTGTGTGGTTTTGATTTCTGAAGTCTTACCTTTCGGAGACAGGCTCTGACGTATTATCAATGAAATAATATAACGAGGGATATGTTCCTGGGAGGGGGTGGGGCTGATGGAACAAGACGGATCACAAGTAATCATTGTTCAACCTGGGGTTTCATGGACTTTTTTTTTTTAAGCAGCTTTCTTTTTAAAATTAATTAATTAGTTAGCTGTTGTTGTTAATCCTCACCTGAGGATCTTTTCCCCCTAATTTTTAGAGAGAGTGGAAGGGGGAGAGACAGAGAGAGGGAAAGATCGCTTTGAAAGAGACACATCAATTGGTTGCCTAATGCCAGAGCCTGCAACTGAGGTACATGCCCTTGACCAGAATCGAACCTGGGACCCTCAAGTCCGCAGGCCGACGCTCTATCTGCTGAGCCAGACCAGCCAGGGCTCATTAACTCTTTATGTTGGTACATGTCTGAATCTTCCACAATAAAAAGTTACAATGCCCGCCTCCCTGACGGGGTCTGGGCGAAGGGATTCTGGCAGAAACACCGCCTCCATGTGAGTCAGCGGGACTGGCGGTCTATGAACAGGAGTGGAGTTCCCTCAGGGGAACGGGGTGGCCCTTCCCAGCGAGGCCGTGGCATCGTCCTCCCACGGTCACCGGGCGCAGCAGCCGGCTCCTCAGTCCAGTGAAGCCCCAGCCACCTGAGCTGCTTTGTTCTCCAGTCGCGGGCGGGTCTGCACTCACCAGCTGGCCGATCCGGTCCAGGTTGTCCAGGAAGTACTTCACCGACTCACCCTGTCACGAAGGAAGAACAGTCAGAGCTCAGTGTCAGCTGCGGAGCCCCAGCCCGGCCGACAGAACTCGCGAGGGCGATGTGCTGGGCCACCGAGGCAGTGGCATCGCGGGGTACGAGGCGCATCTAGAGGAAGCGGTCAGGGAGAAGCTCCACGTTTCCCTGAGAAGGAGGATGGCGGGAGTGCATGCCCCACAGGGATGCGCACTTTGAGAGGTCACTGGAGCCCAACTCTCGCAGCCCTGGGCTCTCGCGGCCTGGGTGTCTCGCGGCCTTGGTGTCTCACAGCCCAGGACTCTCGCGGCCCAGGACTCTCACGGCCCAGGGCTCTCGCGGCCCAGGACTCTCACGGCCTGGGTGTCTCGCGGCCTTGGTGTCTCAAGGCCCAGGGCTCTCGCGGGCCAGGACTCTCACGGCCTAGGACTCTCGCGGGCCAGGGCTCTGCTCCTTCACTGAGGCTCTGCGGGAGGCGGGCTGCACCTTGGGAAAAGCCAGGCGGCACGACCCGCACTCACGGCAGCGCCATCGAGACCTCGGAGGGAACGAGTGGGAGGAGCGAGGTCACGCCGAGCTGTGGCTCATAAAGAGGAAAAGGAGCTGGAGGACAGGGCCCAGCTCTGACGCCCGGTCCCAGCGGCCCAGGGGCAGCACCCAGAGTCCACTTCCTTTTGGGAAGGGCCAGCCTCCCATTCTACAGCAAGGCCTCTGGCTGCCTTGTCTGAGGGCGGGACAGTCTTCCTGCTGGAGCACGGAGCACGGAGCACGGAGCACGGAGCACGGAGCACAGAGCACGCAGGAGCATGCTGGGACCGTCCGCTCTGGGAGGCGAGCGGCCAGCGTGGAAAGGCACCCGCAGCTCCAGGGAGAAAGACACCTCCCCTCCCGCAGCCGCCTCCGCCCTGTGACTGCAGGCCCCTCCCCTCCCGCACGCAGCCCTGGCGGCGGGGAAGCCAGGATCCGGGACTCGGAGGCAGTGCGTCCGCCCGCTGCTGTCCATGTTCTTGCTTTGTCTGCACCCCCTGCTTCTCCCACGCGGACAGGAAACAGCTGTGAGGGAAAGAGCTGCGGAGCCCCCACCAAACCTGCCTGTTGCCCTCCTTCCCCGAGATCCTTTCTCCCTCACCTCCTGCCTGTCGCGCAGGCCCTTGGGCGCTTACAATGGAGACTGACGAGCCTCCCACGGGAGCGGGAGCCCCTGGCCACCACCCGGGCCAGCACGACAGGACTGGCATTACTCTCACGTTGGTGACTGTCTGCTAAAGCAAACCCCAGGTTAGCTGGCGGACAGAACAGCACCCAGTCCCCACGACAACATGCGTCATGTCCGGGATGCCACCCAGAATCACTCACTATGTGGAGAATCAGGAAAATGCCACTTATCCTCAAGGAAAAAACAGCCACAGACAGCAACTCAAATAACCCAGGTACTGGGATTGCCAGACACAGGCTTTAAAGCAGCTACTATGATTATGTTCAACTAGGGGATATGCTTATAATGGATGAAGGCATAAAAATCTTAGCAGGTACACAGGAAATACAAAGAGCGCCAAGTAGAAATCGTAGAAGTTAAATGTACAGATTCTAAAAGAAAAAAATTAGTGGACGGACTTAACAGACTGGAGATGACACAGAAAGAATTCACGAGCTTGGAAATGAGACTAGAAATAAAAAGATTCACAAAGCAGACAGCAGCTGTGGCGTCCGCTGGAGATGACACAGAAAGAATTCACGAGCTTGGAAATGGAAAGATTCACAAAGCAGACAGCAGCTGTGGCGTCTGTGGGGCAACAGCAGAGGGTCTTACACCCTCACTGGAACCCAACCGGAGAGGGAGAGCCGGGCAGGAAGAATGCGTTTTGTAAAAAAAGCACAACACTTTCCTAATCTGGTAAAAGATATAAATTTACAGATTTCTAGAAGCTCACAAATTCCAAACACAGTGAACGTGGAGAAAGCCGTGCTCGGGATCCGCGCACTTCGAAGTGGAAACCTCACTGTTCCGGTCCCGTCCTCACGAGGAAAACGCTGAGCGAGCTGAACATCAACAACTCTCCTGAGATCCCGCTGAGAACCGGCGGCACGGCTGACTGCGGCCCCGCCCACCAGGGACGGGCAAATACAGAGAATCACAGCCTATCGGGACCAGAGATGTGGCTGGAGCGACCGGCATTAGGTCCAGCTTTCAACAGAAAACCACAAGACACGCTCCAAGGCAGGAGTCGGTGTGAGAAGACAGAGCCAGCGTCAGAACCAGACTCGGACCATTTCTCCTTTTGCTATACATTTTGTATTTTGCAATAATTCTAGATGCACAGGAAGCTACAAAGACAGTACAGAGAGGTCCCGTGTGCCTGCACCCACTTCTCTCGATGGCCCGCCTGACAGACGACAGTGCAGTGTCAGCGCCGGGACTGACAGGGGCACGGCGCGAGCATCGGCTCTCAGCGCCGTCTCACGTCTGTAGGGGTGTGTAACCCCCCCCCTCGCAATGGAGACGACAGCATGGCATCCAGCCCCGGAACCTGACCTGGGCCGAGAGTTCTTCGATGTGACACCAAAAGCACAGTCCGTGAGAAAGCCATTTCTGAAAAAAGTCCGTGTTGGTATCATTGAAATTCAGAACCTCTGTTCTGCCCAGACCCTCCTAGGAGGACGGGGAGACGAGCTACAGGACACACTTGGCCCCCCAGGAGGACCGTCTGGAGCAGAGGGAGAGCTCGGAAACTTGGCCGTAATGAATCCCTCCGAACAGGGAACGGGCACGAGGCTGCAGAGACTTCCCCGGAGGACGGCCAGCGGCAGATCGGCCGAGGACAGGCGCTCACTCCACCGACACCCAGGACACGCGCCTCCTGACGCTCAGGCAGAGCCTGAGGCCGGGCAGAGCAGCTTGACTCCCCGTCCTCTTGAGGGTCTGGGCAGAACGGAAGTTCTGAATTTCAATGGTACCAACACGGGCTTTTTTCAGAAATGGCTTTCTCACGGACTGTGCTTTTGGTGTCACATGGAAGAACTCTCGGCCCAGGTCAGGTTCCGGGGGGTGGATGCCATGCTGTCGTCTCCATTGGGCCTCTGGCCTGGGCTCATCACGGCCGACTCCAACGCGGGTGGGTCGGAAGCTGGCTGGCAGGCTCCGCAGGGACAGCCCCTCGTGTCACGCACTCATTCCCACAGAGCAGCCCCTCCACGCCTGGTATTCACCGATCAGGGTTAAAACGGAGAGAATCAGAAAACACGAGGCTACGCGAGCACATCTGCAGCCAGCCACTGCGGGATGCCATCAGGCCCCACGGGGCCTCTGCGTCGCGCACCCTTGAGGGAAGGAGGGGAGGAGAGCTGTCTCGTCTCGTCTCGTGCTGAGGACCTGCCCCCAGGCCTCCAGCTCCCCGGCCAGAGCGTGGAGACCACCCTGCGCTGGGCGCTGGGCGCAGGGCACGGACGCGGTGCGCGTGAGACGACAGGACGTGGGGTGGGGGTGTGCCGTGGAACCAGCACCCCGAGACCCACCAGAGACGCTCCAAACGCAGCAGTGACCTCGAGACGCGTCGGGGGCGATTCTGCAGCCTCTCACCCACGTGTAGGACTCGGCTCCCAGTGCCGCCCCCACACCCGCTCGTTAACCCTCCAGGGAATCAGGCAGGGCCACTGGCACCCGCTTCACAGACGACAGGACTGAGGCGCGTGGGCCAGGAACCTGCCACGCAGCCAGGTGTACGGCTCCTCAGCGCTGTGCGGGGCCACCAGG